TGCAAAGCCAAGTGTAAAGCTCATATATCCAGAATCATTAATTAATGTCAGAATCACTGTAGTCACAAGGTTCAGGTATGGGATAGCTTCTGAGAAGCTGAAGGATGACTTAAATGTGATCTGTGAGGAGGTTACAGTCTAGTGGAGGAACCATGCATTGAGATACAAGTAATTTAAAACAAAGGGGTTGGGGGTGGGGGTGAGAAAGAATTCTATCAAGAAAGATTCTACAAAGCATTAGGAAATCCCAGAGGATGAATACCTGAGTTTTTACATTGTAGATGTCTGTGGTGTCTCTAGAGAGCTTGTCTTTGAATTGGGCTTTAGAAAATGATTAGACTTGTTAGGTGAAGAGAATGGACTTGGGGTTGGGGGCCCACATTGCTGTCAGAGAGACAAGCCTATGCAAAGATATTGGCAGTTATACAAATACTAGAGATCTGGTGCATGGATTTGTGCATGGGTGTGGTCCCTCAGCCTGGCCTGTAGGGATTGGGTCGAAACTGGCTCCCTTACCCCTGAGGGGCCCCAGATTGCAACAGGGAGGTTCTTGGGTGATGCACCCCAGAATTGGCTCCATCCTCTCTGGTTCCAGGTGCATCACCGGAGAACCGCAGCTGCCAAGTCACTACAGCTCAGCAGCTCCTGCATTGAGCATCTTCCCTGTGGTGGTCATTGTGTGTCATAGTCACTTAGGCTTTTATTTATATAGACTAGAAGCCTTGTGCATGAGATTCATACATGGGTGGGATGCTAGGCCTGGTCGGAGATCAGGGCCAATCAGGTTCCCTGCCTCCCCACCTCCCCACCCCCCTCCCTTGCTGCCTGCATGCTGCCACCATGCACTTCTCCATCTCCTTGCCTCCCTGCCTTCCCCCCTCTTCCTTCCCTCACCATCTGCACGCTGCCATTGTGTGGTTCCCTGCCTTATCTCCACCTTCTCTTCTCACTGCCCACATACACCACCACCCACCCTAATTCCCACTCCCAGCCCAGGGCCAGGCCTGATTAGGCAATTGGGACCTGCCAACGATGGAAAGGGAGTGGAGGTTGGCTGGCAGGCCCCATTGGCGATAGTGGCCTGTGGGCTGAGGCAGCTCTTGCGTTGAACGTCTGCCATCTGGTAGTCAGTGCATGTCATAGCAACAGGTTGTTCCAGTTATTCCATCATAATGGTCACTTAGGCTTTTATATATATAGATGACCTGCCCTGAAACAGAAATCATTTGTCATTAGGGCTTGACTTCAAGAGTGAAAGAGAAAATTGAAGGATATATTAGCATCATGGAAGGACCTTTAATGTCAGCTGAATGATTTTGTAGGCAAAGGAAATTCATAAAAGGGATTTAAGCACAGCAATGATAGAACCAAATAAGTGATTTTGTTCTATTATTCTCATAGTAGACAGAGGAAATATTGAAGTGAGTGTGGACAGAAACAGGGAAACAAATTGCAAATCTAACTGAAAGATTGCAGGAAAAAGATGATGAAAGATTTAGATGGGCCAACAATTCAGAGTTAAAAGAAAAGGAATTGCATGGGGAAAAAGTCATGGGTAGAATTTTCAGAATGGGATGAAATTGATGAGCAGGAAGGATCCCAGAAGATCCTGAGGTTTCTGGATTTTGGGTGAGAAGGGATGTGACTTACAGAGATGCAGAATATGGGAGTGGGAACAAGTATGTAACTAAGACAGTGGTCTTGCATTTAGATCAGTTGAATTTGAGGTGTTGATGAAAAATCTAGGTGGGGTTTTGTAGCAAACAATTAGTCATTTCAGCCTCTAGCTTAGGAAAAAGAGTGCAATATATGTCTGAATTTGGAGCTCTGTAGATTATAAGTAATATTCTCAATGTTGAATCTGTGATGTGACATCAGACAGGTTACATTTGGAGTGTTGAGGGGCAATGGTATTTAAGGGGCAGATGCATAAAGAAAAGTTAAATAAAGAGAAGAATGAGTAGAGGTAGGGAGAGAACCAGGGAAAATGTGTCATGGAAACCCAGGGGTTGGGGGTAAATTCACAAGAATCAAAGGCTTCTCAAAAATGACCACAGCCCAGTTTGCATATCTCTAAACTAATGTAATTCAGAGGGCAGCATAGGGAACAGGTGAAGAGAGAGAGCTGGTCTATTCACTGTCCTAAAAGCATAAATCTAGAATTTATTATGTGCCTTATATACTACTTAGGCATCAGAGATATTGGAGTAAATAAAGCATTGTTTTCACTTTATGAAGTTTTACCATTCCTGTCATTCTCTCTAATCAAATCTCATTGAGTCCTTTAAGACCCAGATTTCTCACCTTCACCATAAACACTCCCCTAAGCATGCTGGCTTCAGTAAAAGCTAATTTTTCTAGAAATTACCTGCAATATTTGGCTGACATTTATATTATTTAGCATGTTAATTATCATTGCATTTGCTCATATCATCTCAAATTAACAACTGCAAATTATTTGAGGAGAAGGGGCGTATAGTCTAGATTTTTCCTTCACAATTACAGCCTTTACTTTTATGTATTAAGTGCTTAGAAATACTTCTGAATGGTCTCCCCCATTCTCCATCCCCCTTTATACTTATTATCTTCTTAGACAAAGGGCAAAGTCTGTGCTATCACAATGAGCTAGATAGACCTGATCCCTCCTTTCACATTAAAAATATTTGATATTTTATATTAAAAATATTTGAGATGGTAATATATGTTAAATGACACTATGATAAGGCAAAGTGATAGAGAAAAAACCAGGAAATGAAAGAAGACAGTGTGAACAAGAGTGGTTATCAAATAGCTTTCTGAGGAGGTGACTTTTAGATGAGCTTCAGGACGAAGAACTAGCCATGAGAAAAGCAGAAGTGAAAGCAAGGACAGAGAGTCTGAAATGGTTTTAAGTTCCAGGAACAAAAAGACATTATTTACTCAGAATATAATGAAAGAAAAAGGTAATAAGAGATAAGGTATTGTTTTTGCACTCAAAGCTGGCTGCAATCCTTTAGTATTTCAGATAATCAACTTTCAGGGTTAACAGAGAAAAAAAAATGCTATTTTATATCTAGAGAATTCCCCAAGAGAGGAATAAAAAGAACTATTACTGTTCCAACCCCTTGCATTGCTATTGTTGTGATTCATAACAATATGAAATCAACTGGGTTTTAATCTGTACTTTGTACATAATGGGTGTTACTCTTATTGTTTGTCAGTTTTATTCTTGTTTACATAGATAATCATGGGGACACAACAGTTGCAAAAGCAGCCACAATAGAAATAATAACAACAAAAAAGACACATCTATAAGTTTCAACATTCTTGCATGAGGATTGTCTGTAGACTCCTTCCTGTCTACATAGTAATATATTTACTTAAGCAGAAAGAGATTACAAAATACTAACCCAGATTACTTCACTACAGAAGTAATTCACGATGAGTTATTACTTTCAGAAGCTAACAAAAGTTAGAAGCAATTTTTCTAGGAAAAAAATGCAAATAGTCATATTTACACAAAATATGAATAAAGATTTAAAGGCTATTTAACAACCAGCCACATAGCTCAGAATATCTAACCAAGAGATGTCTATTGTACTAGAGGCCCAGTTCATGAAATTTGTGCATTAGAGGGGTGGGGTGGGACGGTCCCTCAGCCCAGCTTGTACCCTCTTGCAGTCCTGGACCCCTTGAGTGATGGATATCCTCAAAAGGGGGACATCCTTCTCACAGTTGGGGGCTCTCGTACTCTGGGACTCCTTGCTCCCGACTGCCTGCCTGCAGTGGAGGCGGGAGAGGCTCCCTCCACCACTCTGCACTGTGCTTGCCAGCCATGAGCCTGGCTTCTGGCTGCGCATCACTACCCCTGTGAGAGTGCACTGACTACCAGGGGGCAGTTCCTCACCATGGTGGTCAGTGTGTGTCACAGGGACTGATCATTCCACTTGTCATTCCGCAGGTTGATTGATTTCATATTAGGATTTTATTATATTGAATATCAGAATCACCTGAAATCTTGTTAGAAAGCATATCTGTGGCCTTGTCCCATGAAAGCACAAGGTGAAATGGAGGAACTTGCATTTTGTGTTCTCCAGGGAATTCTAAAGCAGATAAATAATAGGTCAGTTTTCCAAACATTGCTTAAGGATCTATGAAGGAGAGAATTGGAGAGCAGAGGCTCAGAGAGAAGTGGAAATTGAAAGTACCTAGAAATTCAAAAGGAATTGGATCCTGGAGAGCTGGAATTGAGGAGATTAATAAATGGGGAAGAATGAACAGGGTGAAGTCGAAGTAAAAATCAGAGCTATGTAGACTGGAGTAAGATGCATGAGAAGTTTGGCATAGGGGCTTGGAAACAGATTGAGAACTTTGGGAGGATTCTGAGGTTTGTGATCTGCCACCAGGGAAATCCCTCGCTATCAAAACTACTTATATACAGTAGGCTGTCTATGAGGACAGATGAGCTGTTATCAATAACCCTTCTGAGTTACTCCAATGAGAAAATAAAGGCAGGAATCATCATTACTGTAACTGCTGAGCACACCATTACCCATTACCTTTACCAAAGAATTAGTGGCTGTGCTGGGTTGGTCCTGTATTCCCTTAACTTGATAGATAAGCAAACTGAAACACATAAATCACCCAATGAAAAAACCACTTGTTCAAGACCAGAACCTGACTTTCTGTTTCCTGACCTGGTGATCTTCCTTACTTGGTCTTGAGATTTAAAAAAAAAAAAAAAAAAAAAAAAAAAAAAAAAAAATATATATATATATATATATATATATATATATATATATATATATATATATATATATATTTTATGGAATCAGTTGATAGGAATGTGCTCACCCAAAAGTGCTTAGGAAAATTTCATTCAGGTGCAAATGGGACTTAAGGCAGGGCAACACTTTTCAATTAAAATCATACATTGGCATGCACAAAAATTTTGATTCTCATTCATTTTAATGCAATGTGGTCATTTGCAAACAGCGAACTGGACAAAAGTAAGACTTGTCTCAGTCTTTCCTCTCTATGGAGCGGAGGATGAACGACACTGCGTTCTCAATGATTTCTCTGCCCAAGAGGTGTAGGAATGTTGGCATGTCCTCTGGTTTTTTGCCTGAGGCATCTGGCTTGTCATCTGACTTGTCATCTGACTTGTCGTCTCGTTTGTCATCTGAAAAAGACAACAGAATTTCAGAGGTGATTGTCAGCAATAAGAACAGAATGTCTCTTTTCTTTGTAGAAAGCATTTAGCGTCCATCGTACCCCCACTAAATGACTTAAGAGTATCTTATAGTTGCATTTACTCAACACATTTTGAACAGTGAAATACATGCTTTATATCACTTATTCCTAAAAACAATCAAGCAGACCAATTGATCCTTTGGTTCCCTTCTTGGAAGAGAAGACTGAAGTTCATGGAGGTTAAGTAACTTGGTCCAAGTGAAGCTACTACCCTGTTTCCCCAAAAATAAGACAGTGTCTTATATTATTTTTTTCTCCCAAAGTTGCACTAGGTCTTATTTTCAGGAGATGTCTTATCTTTCCATGCACTAGGTCTTATTTTCGGAGGATGTCTTATTTTGGGGGAAACACAGGTATATCATTGAAATACAGAATGCCTAGTTTCACTTCAATTGCATGGTCTCTCTTCATGTAATCCCTGGGCCCATGGTAATGATAATAATGAAGATGAAATACTAATGAGTAGCATTTGTTGACTATATACCTATGATAGGAAATCCACATCCATTGTCTCATTTTATTCTCACGACAAACCTATGAGGCAGGCAAAATCATTATGCCAATTAAAGGTAAAGAAATGGAATGTGAGGCAGGTTTAGAAGCTGGTTCATAGCCACAGTGTTAGAAAGTGGCAGAGACAGAATGCCATCTTCTGTCTGTCTAGTATTCACATCTGGATCCTTAATCACTCAGTGATGAGCTGCATGGTCTTTGACAGAAAATTTGTGATCTAACCTCAAGATAAGATTGAAGGTAGTATAATAATGATGACAAAAAGAAATTCTATCTCTTGTACCTTATCTGTCCGATAGTTCTACAAATAATGATTTTACAAAAGCTGTGTAAATTTACTCTTGATCAATCTTATGGGGTATGTACATTTTTGCTCTTTAGATCAAGAAACTGAAAAGATTGGATTACTTGCAGAAGACTTACAAATAGCAAGAGAAGATGAAACGAATGTCCTTTAGAGTGAGGCCAAGGATCTAGAGCAGTGGTTCTCAACCTTCCTAATGCTGCGACCCTTTCATACAGCTCCTCGTGTTGTGGTGATCCCCAACCATAAAATTATTTTTGTTGCTACTTCATAACTGTAATTTTGCTACTGATAATGAATCGTAATGTAAATATCGGTGTTTTTCCATAGTCTTAGGCTCTACAGCGCTTACACATTTCTCTCAGTGCTTGTCGCGACCCACAGATTGAGAACCACTAGCAGGGTCGCAGATATTTACATTACAATTCATTGGAAAACACAGAAATTTACATTACAATTCATAACAGTACCAAATTACAGTTATGAAGTAGCAACAAAAATAATTTTATGGTTGGGGGGGTCACCACAACATGAGGAGCTGTATTAAAGGGTGGCGGCATTAGAAGGTTGAGAACCACTGATTTAGAGAGTTAGATTGGAGGTTAGTGACGTGCAAGTTCCCTTGGGGGTAGGGGGTTGGCTTTATTTAGTGGTCTAAATGAACAGGAGATTTGATGGAATGAAAGAGGGGCACTTAGCAGCACATATGGCCTCCTCCCTGAACCCTGGTGACAGAATGGAGTAGCATCTTTATCTTTTTGTTTTATTATAGCCTCAGGAGTATTGCTGGCAGATCTGACAAATCAAAACACAGGATATCCAGTTAAAGTTGAATTTCAGATAAACAATAGTTTTCAGGATAAGAATGACCCAGGAAATATTTAGGACATACTTCAACAAAACAATTGTTCATTGTTTATCCAATATTCAAACTTAACTGGGTGTCCTGTATTTTATCTGCAATCCCGCCACAAGTTTTGACTTGAGAAGTATCAACTACTGGACACTGTACCCGGGGACTCTGAATGAAGGAGTTGTAACTAGCTTTTTGTGTGGAGGTTGTCAGATTATGTTAGAAGCCTTGCATCTATATTGTATCCTAAAATAGAAGCTCTAATTAAAAGATGTGGCATTCAGTTCTACAAACATTTGTTGCTTACCATGCCATAACAAAAGATTGGAGAGGAGCACAAATCTGGAACATATAACCAAAATCAGTATACTAAAGACCAAATATTCATGCTTTCATTCATTCATTCATTCATTCATTCATGCAGTTGTTGGGGTGTTTTTCTGTTGTTGTTCAACAAGGATATTTGAGTCTACTGTTATATGCATAGCATAGGCTAAGAGTTAAGGTAAAAGTGGACATTTATGGGCAGGATTCTCACATAAGGTGCAGGGCAACCACAGTGACCAGAATAGCTTTGTTTTTATCATGGGAAGGGAAGGACAGAGGCTATGTATTTGTTATGCTATGCCTGTTGTGCAGGGGCAGGGATAGTATTTTCATAGCATGCCTTAATCCTTATTCAGGCCAATGATCATAATATAGTCTTACAAGAGAGAAAACAAGATGCTCAGAGAAATTAGATGACTCACCTAAAATCACACATCTTGAAAGTGGCTGAGTCAGGTTTTGACCTAATTTATGTTTAACTCCACAAACCTTGTTACTTATATGATATAATGCAGCCTTCAAGCAATTATCCCCTGAAGACATTTACCAAGTGCAAAATAGAGGTTCCTTGCATGAAAAGTGAATTCTTTATTCTTCTGTGTTCCTATCTGCCTACTGGTATACCCAGATTTTTTATTTTAATGTGACACCAAGTGGTAGCTTTTCAATATGCAAGGAGCTCTGGGTTGGAGTATATGAAGAGTAGATCCTTGGCTCCAGTCCTTGGACCATGTACATACTGAGTGGTATTAGGGACCAGTGGATCATATGTTTTAGAATCCTACATACCCGAGTTTAATTCATGTGTTCAAAAATTAGCCATGTAAACTTACACACAAAATTTAACCATACTCTCAGTTTCTTCATTGCGTTGTTATAAAGATTAAAAGATAATGCATATGTCTTTCATATATATCATATATATGTATATGTATGTGCGTATGTATGTACATATATTATGATCTATGTATACCACTTACAGTACCAACCCTAAGGTAAGCTCACAGTAAGTTATTGTTATATTATTATTATTATTATTATTATTAACAACAAAGTGATTCATAGTAGCTTTTTCCTTTAGTGCTTTTGGAGATGATGCAAATTAGAAAATGTTGTTAAAATATTAAGAAATTTGAAATGTTGGAAAACAAAACAAAAATACGTAACAATAATAAAATTAAGAAATGTGATATACTAGGAACAAATTATCAAAGCCAATAGTTGAATATTTTCTCTTTTGAAATATATGATAGCTCCTATTTACATTAACTCCTTGTTGAGTTTCTTAGTCAATGAAATACAAAAGTTCTGAAAAAATACTGTAATAGTGATATATGTCCAGTTTTTATAATTTACAAGTGATTATAAAAGCTTGCTCATTTGATCTGGTGAAGTTTATTGTTATCCCATTTTACAAATGAAGAAACTGAAGTTCAAAGCAGTGAACTGATTTAACCAATTTCAGAGTTCATAAGAGAGAAAGATGAGACTGGCTTTTAGGATATCAATCTCACCTTTTCCTTTACCAGGGGGGGATTACTTTAGGAGGGGATGGACATAGTAGTCTCTGAGACTGTCTCTCTAGTAATTCTGTTGGAGTGTCTGCCTGTGTGTTGTGCCAGTGGACAATGGGTGGCTGAAGGAGTGAGTTCTGTTGAGTTACATTTAGAAGAGTTTCAATAGCAATATTTGCTCTCTCAGTGTTTTCTGACCATTTTGAATAGAGAGGAGTCACAAGTTCACTGTTTTCTACAGTCAGAAAAAAAAATTAATTCATAAGAATTCTGCATGCTGCTGTGTAGTTTTCTATGTGCTTGAAACAAACATGGAAGAAATAGATGCTTAGTTATAACGGGAAGAACTGAGGGCTTTAGGTGTTAGTGCCAAGTGTGCCACTACTACCAGTGTCTATGATCAAGTAACTTTTTTTTTTTTTTGCAAATAGTTATTAACCTGCAAAAAGGGCAGTGGTAAAACTGTGCATGCTTACATAAAAGGATTATTATGATAATTAAATGAAATAATACATGATAACAATAACAGCTAATATTTACTGGTGCTTATTATGGACTCATACTTCTCAAATGTTTGTCTCTCATTTAATTTTTATGTTAAATGTATGAGAAAGTTAACTATTGACATTTTATTTTACATGTGAAATAAAGAGAAGTTAAATAAAATACCTGAAGTCACATTTCTGATTAGTCGTGAAGTCAGACCTAGGAGTCTTATTTCAGAGTTGATACGCCTCACCTTTGAGCATTATTAGTTATAATCATCAAAATTTATAACAATAGCCCTACCTGGTTTGGCTCAGTGTATGGAGCTTCAGCCCGAGGACTGCAGGGTCCCAGGTTTGATTCTTGCTAGGGAGACATTACTGGGTTGCAGGCTCTATCCCCAGGAGGGGTCGTGCAGGAGGCAGATAAATGGTGATTCTCTCTCACCATGGATGTTTCTCTCTCTCTCCCTCTCCTTTCCTCTCTGAAATCGATAATTTTTTTTCTAAATTTATAACATAATAGTGTCGCTATATCACATAAGTATATGTAAAAAAGCAATCATTTCACACTTTCTACATTCACTGAGGACAGAGGCTTTTTGCTAGAAGATCTGTCTCTGGTCTCCTAGTCCAGTGCTCAAAAGTCCCTCCCCATTCCTGCCCTTTATGTTCTGGAACAGTGCCACCAACTTCCTCCAACCATGGCTAACCGCTGCAGGACTGTCACTGGAAGCACTTACCAGCATGGCAAGTCAGGATCAAGGCAAGCAATCCCAGGAAAACTGTCATCCGGAGCACGGAGATGGCCATGGTTGCAGCTCTGGGTATTGGTGCAGATAAAGCGTTCCAGGGCACCTGTATCCTTGCTCCACTTATAAGTCACTTGCAGGTGACATCATCTGCTGTGGAATTTAGGCTATTGCACAAAATGTCTCCACAGCATGCTCTGGGATCTAATGAGCCCTGCCCAACCTTTCAAACCTAAAGTTTTTCTCATGGTCGAAGAAAAACCCTTTTTGGTTTTCCTAGTGTGTATTTATCAATGGCATTGTAGTAACTCTTTCAGAGGTAGTTCCTATGCCAGCATTAACAATTAGATGGGTATCAGGCAGAATTATTATTATTCAGTGCCAAGAAGTAAGTATTCAATCAGATTGGTGAGGTGTCCTACTTTCATCCCTGCACACTCTACTTTCTTCCCCATGCTCTGAGCTAATTACTTGTTCCCACATGGGCATGCCCATTCATACCCATACTTTTTATTTTTCCTCCATTATTTATCCCCCCCCCCAACCTTGGAATATTCCTGCTATTCATCAGACTCCAGTTCAAATGCCACACTTCTCTCTGAACCTTTATGATGACCCTTCCACCATACCCCAGAGAGTTAGTTGCTCTATCATCTGTCATATAAAACACTCGCTTGGACTATTTTTGGAAAACTAAGTACTTTAATAGCTCTCTTCTCTTTCAGCCTATGGATCTCTTAAGGAACAGAATGTTTTATTCAGTTCTGAATCCTGAAGGAACCTATTATTATGTTTGACATTGGCTTTGAATTCCTTGGGAAACTTGCATAGTTTTTCCAAAAAGAACTAGGTGTCTCCCTGAAACCAGTTTGGCTCAGTGGATAGACCATCAGCCTGCAGACTGAAAGGTCCCAGGTTTGATTCTGGTCAAGAGCATGTACCTGGGTTGCGGGCACATCCCCAGTGGGAGGTGTGCAAGATGCAGCTGATCGATGTTTCTCTCTCATCGATTTTTCTAACTCTCTATCTTTCTCCTTTCCTCTCTGTAAAAAATCAATAAAATATATTAAAAAAACAAACAAACAACAACTAGGTGTCCCTCTCCTGTGCCTAATATACAGATTATATGTCTCCACCAGTAGGCTGTAGGCTCCTCGAGGGCTAGATTGTCTTTTTCAGAGTTGAATGCACATTACTCTTGGCATATAACAAACAAATAATAATAATTAAATTACTGCACACAACAAAAAGAAATATTGTATTTGAGGTGCTTCTGTGTATTTCAGATATAAAAATCCTTTCTTCTGGATATAAACACTCAAGGGGATACAATTGGTTCAAGTCTAGATGCTGGTTATCCTGAGGGATGTTGTAAGTTCAGTTAATTAAGATGAGGACTTGGGGGTTCCTAAACTTGTAGCTTGACCAAAACTTTTGTGACTGTGAGAGGGCCCCTTTAATAAATGCTGAAGTTACCTGAGGTCTGGGAAAAGGAGGCTTGTCTGGTGTCACAGAGCCAAGGTGAGGACATGGCCCTCTTACTCCCAGTTCCGGACTCTTTTCAAGGCACCAAGCTGCACTTGAAAGCTATGCTTGGATCCTTCCAGTCTCTCCATTTTATCTCACGAAGACTCTGATCCGGTCACTCCTACAGAGTTGTGATCTGGAGATAGTGATCCATGATAGGAAGTGTTCAGCAAGTTAGAGGGATGCCAGCAGAGTAGCTTAGAATTGAGCACTGCGCATGGCCAAGTAGCTAGTGCAGAAATAACATTCAAGTGTCCCCTGGCTTATGGCTTTGCTTACCTGGGAAAGGGTAGCAATACCTCTTACTTTGCACCAGCTTTGAGCCCTCAGGGTTTAACCCATCTTGTGGGGCATAGTTTTTTAAATTCCCTGTAAGAACACTGTACAGGCAAGCAAAAGCTCTGGCTGTTGCAACTTAGGAGAGAGAGCTGCTTCTCACAGATATCAGCTACAAGGGGCATGCAGAGTCCTGAATCAGGTGCTCTAGGTGGTCTGATGTCAAGAAAATAGCACCAATACTGAGGGCAAGGGTGTCCTGTAAATACTATGACTCACTGGTGCCCTGACCAAATACCTGCAGACCTGACACTCATTTTTCACTGTGGTATTCTCCTCTCGTCCCTCCATTTGTTATTTTTAGCTTTAAATTTCAGCTAAAATATCTCTTTTTTGGTGAAAATTTTGTGACTCATTAAGATCCCTCTATTATAATCTTTTATACACTTTGTATTCTTCCTTATTTGACACTTCAATGTCTCCCTTCCCAAGAGATGTCAAAATCCATGGTGGAGGGACTCTATGTTGTTCATGAAGACAGCTCTTGTTTCTAGGATAGTACCTCACACACACAAAATACCTAACAAATACTACTAAATAGAAGAATTATTATCAGTTATTATTATTATAGTTATTAAATGACTGATACCACTCTAAGTCTTGGTTTCCTCATCTGTAAAGTTGGGGCATATTATTATTTCCTGCCTATGTATCTGCACTATTTTAGGAACATATGACATAACAGATACATTTTAAAGAACCTTTAATGTGTGCCATATTAATAGAAGGTAAGAAGCTGTGGCTTATCCTCCATTAGCACAAGCAAATGAATTTGATTTAAAGTAGAGAAACTAGATTAAGAAAGATGTTTTACCCAAGCTAGGAAGAAGAAGTGAGGACCTTCTTCCTGAATGCCATTCTAGTTTGGTAAGAAGATATGAGAATGAAATGAATATGGAATGCTTTAATTCCCATGGAAATTTCCATGTGTAATTGAAAATCACCAGAGTTCTTTCTTAGGTTAGTAAAGGATTACAGTCTGTGTTGGAAATTGCATAGAGATATTTTGAAGTGTGAGTTATGGTTAAAAGCATGGGTATTGAGATCAGACAGAACTGTGACAAACTCGTAGATAGAGATCAGATGGGGGACTGGGTGGAGGGGTGAGGGGTTGAGTAAAAAAGAAAAAATATAGAAAAAAACCTCATGGATATGGAAAACATTGTCGTGATTGTCGGTGTTAGGGGAGGTAAGGAGTGGTGGTGGAGGTATATGGGGAGTAAATGATGATGGGTGGAGATTTGACTTTGTGTAGTGAACACACAATATATAGAATGTGTGTTATAGCTGAAACCGGTTTGGCTCAGTAGTAGAGCGTCGGTCTGCAGACTAAAGGGTCCCATGTTTGATTCCGGTCAAGGACATGTGCATTGGTTGCAGGCACATCCCCAGTAGGGGATGTGCAGAAGGCGGCTGGTTGGTGTTTCTCTCTCATCGACGTTTCTGGCTCTCTATCTCTCTCCCTTCCTCTCTGTAAAAAATCAATAAAATATATTTTTTAAAAAAGTATATGTGTTATAGAATCATGTACCTGAAATGTGTATATTTTTGTTAACCAGTGTCACCCAGTAAATTCAACTAGAAAAAAACAACTGGGTTTGAATTTCAGATTTGCCACTTTCAAATTGTGTGACCCTGTGAAATATTTTCTAATTTCCTTATGCATTGAGTCTAATGTTCACAAAACAGGAAAAAGAGCACCTCTCACAGTTATGAGGATTAGTTTTGAAAATACATGCCTTCATGTAATCCTTGGTAAAAAGAGAGTTGGAGATAAGGTTGCAGAATAAAATACAAGATGCCCAATTAAATTTGAATTTCAGATAAAGAGTAATTTTTCACTATTACCCAAATATTTCTCTTTATTTGCTGAATTGAGCAACTCCACCTGGAGAGGCCCTCTGGAGTGTTTTCATGCATTAGACCTCAGATAAGGAGTGAAGAACAGGGAGGTCAAGTGAATGATTGGAAGACAGAGTGTGAAAAGTTAAAATTATATATGGAATGTGGAAGTTATTGAAGGGCCCAAGCTTATCTGTGATACTACATCTGGGGCATGTTCTCCCCCCTGTATTTCTCATGAGAAAATCATTAGCTCCTCTCTTGATCTTTGTTTACTCTAGCTCAAGTTTCATGCCAGCCTTGGAAGTGGTGCATGTGGCTTCAAGAAGGCCCTCTTTCCATGGTGCCATGTGCTAAGGAGTGGCCACAGTCTTTGTCACCCTGATCACCTTTCTACATATAGCTAATAACTTAGCCAATCCTCATGTCACTAAACAATTTATTAATTTCTTATTCAGTGGACATTTACTGAGTTTGTACTATTTGTCAGGTGCTCTGTGAGGCACTGGGGGCAATATACAAATGATGTGTTATAGAATTATATACCTGAAGCCTATATAATTGTATTAACAAACTAGAAGCCTGGTACACAAAATTCATGTACTGGGGGAGAGCGGGGGGTAGATCCCCTCAGCCTGGCCTGCACCCTCTTACAGTCCAGGAATCCTTGGAGGATGTCCAACCGACAACTTAGGTCTGCTGGGAGCGGGCCTAAGCCGGCAGGCTGACATCCTTAGCATAGCTGCAGAGGCCAGAGAGGCTCTCGCCAGTCCTGAGCCTGCATAGAACACCTGTCCCCTGGTGGTCAGTGTGTGTCATAGAACAGGTTGTTTCTCATTTTGGTCTATTTGCATATTAGCCTTTTATTATAGAGGATGTCATCCCAATAAAGTAAAGTAAAATAATAATAAATTAAATAAAATACAAAATAGCAGTTCCTGGCCTTGCCTCTATTGCGGATGCAAACATGTAACCAAATAATTTCAATTAAATACGAGAACTGCTAGTGGAGTTACTGAACAGATTCCTTTGGGAGACTATTAGGGAAGGGTTCACATTGTGGGGGGGAGGGGTGGGCAATCATAGACATATCATTTGTTTGGAACATTGAAAATTGGGTTAGCAGGTGTTCCCCAATGTGAACAAGGTGTGGAGAACACACTTGAGGTAAGAGGAATGACATCTGCAGGGCACAGGCTTGGAAGAGCATAGCATATTTCTAGGAATGAACCCTCACATTCTCAGGTATTGATATTAGAAGTAAAAATTGTGGCACGCTGACTGAATCTTACAAGTTGTTTTAATTAATGAACGGGCTAGGAAGAGATAATGAAGAGATCTACCTGAGCCAGGGGG